ATGTATGTTTTTTTCTGAAGATTTTTTTATAAATACAATGAAAAGATTATTTTAGAACTTTTTTCATGATAAGTTTCTTTTCTTATAATATTTTATTATATTTAAAAATGAGACTGTGTGAAATTAAATATTATTTTTCTTCAAAGCATATTAATTCAATAGTTTGTTATTCATCCTTTAAAAAAAAATAAAGAATCATTAGTCTTTTTCAAAGATTGTGAATTGTACATGCCAATTTAATTATTAATTAGATTTATATGGATTAAAATTGTTTGATTATTAATGTTTTTAATTATAGTATAGTTATTGATTGGACATACTTGATTGGCTTAATGTATATTGAACATATAAATATAATAATGATATTTTTTATTTTAAAAATATAAAAATTGCTCAAGTGTTATTATACTCCATTTGGTGATTATATCAAGCAATAAATAACAGGAAATTAGGGCAAACAATTCCCCTGATCCAAGCTCAAATAAATTAGGTTTAATATCACAATGACATTTTCTTTCAGCTAGCTAGGTAACCAAAAGACCCTGAACTCATTGCTTCATTATTTGTTGCTTCACAGCTCAGGACGTAAGCAAAACTTCAGTAATGTAGGATTTTCTGAAATAACAAGACTTCACATCACCATGAAATAGAAATTACATGGATTTTGAATATCCTCATGAAACTGGATGACCAAGCGAGTTGACCATAACTCGAGTAACACGACAAATTAACCTGCAACTTAAATAACCTAGCTAAACTACTTGAATGAAACTTGGTCAAGTCAGCTATAATGAATTTTTTAAGAAAAATGGAATGAGTACTTTTAAACAAATGATTAACCCAGGTCGTGGTGATTCACGGATAACTTGGAAACCTAATGACAGAGGCCCTGAATGGAGTCAGATCCCATGCTAGGTTAGACAACTATCGCCAAGATCATTGCTTCGCATGTCCAATGTGGGATCATGAAGCACAAGATTGCCAGTTTTGTAGACCGAATTCTTAGAAGCTGTATTTCTAGCCAGTACAAGAGAAGATTTGAGAGGGAGAGTTGTACAGATACAAATCGGAAAAATGCTCTAAATTATTTTCTGTTCTTTCAAAGAAATAATATATGCATTCTCGTGTGGGCACGGAGCAATTGATGTACAAATGTAAACGCTCACAGTCCAATTGTTATTGTCCATATAAGAAAATTACAATCAAAGATGCAATCAAGGAATGATCTACAGATCCAGGAAATATGGTTAGTCGAAATTTACTCCGCCGGGCATGAATCTGGTGAAGCTTGTACATGAGACTAGTCTGCATCAAACCAAATGTGATATTAGAATCTGTATTTGATATCACAAAACAGTGATCATAACTAGAACTTCCCAGATCATGAACAGCAGGAACTTCCAATGCAAGAGATTAAGCAGAATCCATGGCTTGTGAGCGATATATAGACCATAAACAGAAGGAAACCATTTTAACAGGACTGAACAACAATGGCTTTAATGAATAGTTCGAGAAAAGCATCCATTAAGATTGGAATGAAGAAGAAAATCCATCACAATGGAATAATATCTGCACATGAATAGCACAAAGCACCCTGATGACTAGAGTGATTGACATCGAACATTATAGATACTGCTGTGATTATCTACCTAAATATGGGGTAGATAATTCAAATGCAGAGGCAAGTACAGAAAATGAGTTTAAAGCAATCATTCAAAGTAGATGAGATAGTCCATAATTAAGCTAGCTTGCGAAAGTTGAAGCAGCTTATCAGGATCTTTTGAAGAGAAAAAGGAAATATTAAAACAAAACGATTTTTATTCTTCCAGCTAAATATAATAATTGTTGATAATGTTCATTTCACCTCAACAGGCAATATTCTAAGCCTGTCTCAATTGCAACTTCTTAATAATACCTGGGCTACAATGGAATCGCTTCTATAGATTGTGCATGATCTTTGGAAGGGGAAACCTTTCACCTTAAAGTCAGGTGTTGACTCTCTCGAAATTTCTCCAACAAGAAAGACCTCAAGCTCAGTTCTTGTAAGCTTTTTCACAGTCCTTTTCACTCTGAAGATCAAGTCCTTCTCCCTATTATCACCACCCTTAAACCCTTGCCAAGAACCTTTCTGCAACCAAGAAATAAATCAAGAAGCTTCTCTCAGTCCCATGGAAGGATAATCATACAGAATCTGCAACCAATGAAATGAAGCAATAACCTAATTAACTAATTAGGCATCATCCTTTATCAAAGAAAGAAAAAGTCCATTGGAAAGATTTGGTTCTTAAATAAGGGATGCAAAACCATTACAATGATGTCCGTGATGTCCCAGTGTTAACAAGTATGGGCATACAAGTTCAAATCACATATAGAAGAAACTTTCATAATAAGATAAAGACTTGCGTTTGATTAGTATCCTAGAACAGAAGGGACAGATGCATAAGAAACAAAAATGTGTTTGGTTACAGGGTCGAACATTAAAAAGAAATGTGTTGGAGTGAATTTTTATGCTTTCAAAATAGGAGATACAAGGGAACATGTCTTCTTTATTTCCACTATCTTTGTCTCTTTTGTCTTTAAATAATAACTACACGATACCTATGCTACCCAATTCTCATTGCACATCATATAAGATATTGATGCAGAGAATTCAACTACCTTGAAAACAACTGTCTAGTAACAACCAGTAGCAGATATTGAATACATTTCAGATTCTAACAATGCATACACCAATTAAAGCACACTAACATGAAGCATTAACCGCTAAAAATCAACCCATTCTTGCCAATTGAAAAATGCTTACTCCTTCAATATATTTTATGATTTTCTATCAAATATCCTTCAAAAAAATCAAATCTTTTCTAATGACCAAATGTGCAATAAATGGTAATAAACTTGAAAATCCACAAGTAAAATCAGAAGAAAAAAAATTGAATTAATCCTCACATCAATTTTTTTCCAGCTAAATCATCAATTCTTCAAAGTTTGAAATAGCCATGAACTCAAGATTACATAAGCCGTGTGGGGAGCCCAGCAAGTGGGTTGTTGTTTTTCCGTCTTTTGAAGACTCAACAAGAGCTTGAACACACACTACCACAGAATTCTCTAACATGTAACAATCATGCAATTCAATGCTATAATAATCAACTTGGTTGGCTTAGATAATTACAATAATCAAACATAGCTAATTTACAAGCATCGATTTGTTGTCAAAGTTAGAAACTTTAGTCAACAAAACATAAATCTTAATATCCATAGAAATGAACTCACACCATCACGAAACACGGTGATCAAAGGATTTCCTGATGCATCGAGAAGGACCCCTTTGAAGGATGACTTTGAAGACTTATCAAAATTGACCTTGAAAACAATATTTCCTAGAGAATCTGCAAAACCCAAGTCACCATTAAGACCAGGATGTTTCTTGGAGACAAAAAGATCAACTGGGATAGGCACAGCAGCTGGATACACAGGATCCCAAGAAGCCATAGAAAAGAAGAAAAGTCACCACTTTATGGTTTTCAATTCATTTGGAAACAAAAGTTATGGGCTTTGGGGAAGAGAAAGAGAAGAGAGTAAAGCGAGGAATGGAATTGGATTGGTGTTGATAAAAGAAGAGAATCAGAAATAAAGAAAAGCGACAGACAACTTTGTTTTAAGACAACAAGATTCGGTGGGAAGGAGACTTGAAACTCTGAAGGTAAATGACCAAACGGTTGGAAAACTCGCCCCCTTACGAAAGTTATTAACTCGACTGAGTCAGGCTCACGAGTGGACCGGTTTGATGAGGGCATGTTTTTCTAATCTACTATTTCTAGTTTTAGATGTTTTTAAAACTACTATGAACTTAAAAAAATATATATATTATATTAAATTTATTTTTTTAATATTTTATTATAATTTTACATAAATTTATTTAAATGTATTTTTAAGTAAAACCTATCTTAAAAAAAAAAATTTACACCACAATCTTAAACACATCTAGATTAATCAAAAAAATATTCTATTAAAAATTTTTAAAAATTAAATTGAGTTTTAGCTAAATCAAGCCATTAATGAATTAATCCATAAAAATAAAATGGATTATACCAAGTCAACTTTCATCTAATTTTTTTGAAACTCAACTTAAATTAAAATTTAAATAGACTTGCTAAATCAACTCAAATTTATTAACAATAACAGGAATGGTTTACAAGGATACCCAGGAATATTTTTTTCTTTACAACTTTTATTTTAATTAAGAAACTAATTATGGAAGTTGAACTAACAATACAATATTAAATGAATCTTCATAATACTTAATCCAACTTTTTTAGAGGCATATCTTTGAGACATGGATGAGTAATTAAATTTAAGGTAATGTAATATTATTTAATTCTTAATGATATCTTAATTAAGCTACATTGCCTTGAACATGTGGGCAAAATAATTGTTAGGTGTCTCCTTTTGCATGGAAATGGATTGGCATCCCAATGAAAAAGTTGTTAAGCCTTTCTCCTTCTATTTTCGCATGGAAATGGATTGGTATCCCAATGAGCCATATATTGTAGTGGTCACTAATTAGCATTAGGGGGAGATCTTCAACGCAATTACAAAGGCATTAAAGTTATGATATTTAAATAATATTTTTTTTATTTTTAAAAAATTATTGTTTATATTAGTATGTTCAAATGATCTGAAAATATTAAAAATATTAATTTAAAATAAAAATATATTTTTTTTACTTTCAAAAACATTTTGACAAAGCAAAAACAAAGATAATAGTTTGTGGAGAATTTCTTGTATCCCATAGCCTTAAAAGGATTCACAAGCAATCCATCAAAGTTTGTGTGCAAGATATCATGTCAAAGCTTATCCAAGAATTTCTTGCATGTTATAGGCTTGTTTTCATATTTAAGGATTATACAAATTTACTTTAAAACTGTCTTGAATTACTTATTACTTCAATAAAAAAAGGTTTCTAAATCTTGTAATAGAAAGTTGATTTAAGCACTGAATCGAAGTAAGAAAAAATATCATCCAGATTTTTACATTCCCCTCGTTTAGAGGCATGAAGATGATACATTACTTGGGCATGCATGATAATCAAAGTAAAATTACAAGTAGCATAATTTAGATATACATACATTATGTTGTGGTCAAATCAAATTAATATGGCAGGTTCAAGCATTGGAACTATATCATCATCATCACCAAGCTGAGAGAGAGCATGCATCTCTTCCTTGAACTTGGGCATGACAGCTCTTGGGAGAGACACAAGCACTCTAACCCCACCTTTTGTTGAAGGATCCAAATTGCAAGGAGGCAAGAAAATACACAAATAGACAAAACCAAACATCTTCAATGGCACTGGTATCATGTTCGCTAAACCTTTCCATCCAAAATCTACTTCCTCGAGTAGACCTAATTGTCTCCAATCAGTCAAAACCATTGATGCGCCGTTATCTGAATCAATCTTGAAGTTGAGCTCCCTGACCTTGTCCAACATGCTTATTTGGCTCCAAATGTAGTGAGCATTGGAAGCATGTTTCTTGCTCTCTTTGATGAGCTTGGCAACCCTAGATAATGGTCCTTCGTTGAGGTCCTTCCCCGTCATGACCAGATTTGAGCCCACAAAAGCATTTCCATAGTATCCACTCGGCAATGGTGGATTCAAAAGGTGCCTTATCCCCATAGCTAGACAGAACAAGGTGTTTCCATCTGGGTTCAATTTGAAGGCTCTGAATCTTGATCTCCAGATATAAGCACCAAGAACTTCGATAGTAGTGAAACTTCCTTTCATCTCTTCATGATCTCCACACTCCTTCATGAGACTCATTTTGAGTCTTTTTATAGTCTCAGCTTTCACAAAAAAACATTCATGCAGAATGTCATTTGTTATCAAATACGGTGAAGATGCCTTCTTGTCCACAGGATATTGGAGAGGTCCCTGAGTAGACTTCGCTACCAGTCTCTCCCTCTCCCACACAGGTTTCACTGAGGGCTCACTTTCACCACTAGCAAGTTCAGCCAAGGCTCTAAACAATTGTGATGCACCAAACCCATCACAAACTGAGTGTGATAAGCCCATTCCTATTGTGAAACCCCCACATGGAAATTTGGTCACCTGAAACATTAGAGGGTGGTAACCAAAGTCACTCTTTGGTGGAAAATCAAAGACAAATTCTTCGGCAGTTTCAACATCAATCCCATCTAGGTATTTAAGAGAAGCAAGCTTGCAATTTGCTGTTGCCTCTAAGAATGGCACACCTTCACCATTGCAGTTGATATAAAGTTTTCCGTCACTACTATCCCTCTTCAGCTTTCCAGCTAGAGGATAGTAATGAACCAAAACTTTAGATATTGCATCTTTAATTACACGAGCAGGGTCTGCCTGGCCATTAAGTTTTGATGCAAGATCATGGTCAGCACTGCCATTATCAGAAGAAACAGAATTTGCTTTGTAAACATAAACACTATGACACACAAATTCAAGGTTGGGATCATTGTCGATAGTAGAGAAAGAAAGGGTCTTTGAAGGAGTTGGTTTTGCTGCTTTAACAAGCACAACATCTTTTCTATCAAGCAAAAGAGGTGCACGATGGTGGGTCTCCATTTTGGAGTCTTGAAGTGCGAATGAACTTCAGCTATGCCATCTTCATTTATATAGCCTTGAACCCTATGTAATCACTGGCCTTATCCATTTTAATTATAATAATATCAGTGGTATTATCATTTCCAGGTCCCCATCCCACAAAGAATTTCAAAGAATGCTGTTGATAGGGTTTGAATTGAGGACCTGGCTTAGAAATCTTGAAGTTGAAATCTTAGCAAACTCATTGCTTTGAACTGTAAGCTGTAACCAACCATCCAAAATATAAATTGTACACAAAGCAACTATTAAGTGCCTACCACAGAAAAATACACAAGGAAAGCATAAGGATTTTTCACTACCTAGTATAGATTATAGTTGTAAAAACTGGAAAGGCTCAGTGGATGGACTTTAAATTAGTCCATGTTAAAGAAGGAATAGGATTAATATTTAGTTAAAAATTTAAGTTGATAGGATAAAATCCAATTAAAAAAACTATTGATTTTTTTAATTTTTTTATTTAAAATAACATTGTTTTAATGATTTTTAAAATAAAATAAAACAAATAGCCTAGACTGACCAAAATTAACCCTAGAGTCAAGTTTCATAACTATTCCGTATATAGATAGAGTGCTTACTATTCCATAGGTCTTGAAGTCCATCATGGAGGCAACGCGTTTTTTTTTTTTTTTTCCGTGGTGGTTTCTTGGTGGAATTTTTTTTAGTTTTTTTTTAATAGAAAATTAAGGAAAGGACATTTATAATCTGAAAATGAGAATTATTTTTTTAGAAATTTGTTTTTAATTCTTCAATTTTTTAGAAAAAAATAAAAAATAGCATTTTTTAAATCCTTTATAATTTTTTAGATACAAGACTTTAAAATTAATTTTATTAAACTCAATTCAATTGAACAAAAGCATATTTGGAAACGTGAAACCCCGTTTCCAAATAATTTAAATTTTTTTTATTAAAATTTAATATATTATGTATATTTTGAATTGTTTTAATATACTAATATTAAAAATAATTTTTAAAAATAAAAAATATATTTTAACATGAAAAATTATTTGAAAAATTCCTATAACCAACCAAACAATTTCTAAATAAACTTTAGCAAGCTCTAAGTAAACTTTGACGATAGATCCACTTAAAACTTTATCTAATTTAAATATTGTATATCAAAACTAGGTGGTACGTAAGATTGGAGATTCTACCTTGGTCTGGAGAGAGAGATAAGAGTGGAAATATCAAAACTAGGTGGTACGTAAGATTGGAAATTCTACCTTGGTCTGAAGAGAGAGATAAGAGGAAGATTTACAACAACAAACAAGAACACTTGATTTGGGTTTCTTGGGGGGGTTTTTGTCTAAAGAATTTAGAAGCTTTTGGATTTGTTCTTGGATTGATAATAATAACACTGATGCTTTGTTTATTTTTAAATAAAGACAGTATGATTTTAAGATTAATTATACAAAAAGGATATATAGTTTAGGTATTAATTAATCGTAAAACTATCATATTCCTTTATAATTAATCAATTGACAGTCAAGGAAGCATTGAATAATTTTTCATAGTTAGCAGGACTAATTAATTTTTTTAACTAAACAAGAGGAAAAATAATTTTTAATCTTTTTTTTAATTATGTCAAAAAAGTCCCTTATTTTTTTATTTTCAAGAACTGATGACCGAGTTTCTTTAATTTTCAATAAAAAATATTCTTAGAACGAAAAAAAAATCTGAAAGCAAGCATATTTCCATGCTTTTTTAATGGCTGACAGCAATAAAGGCATACAAGAGAATGTGTGTAGTGGAGATAGATGACTATAGAAACAATCCTGCCCACCTACAATATCATGTCGAGTTGAATTCTTGCACTAAATCATTAGATACTCTATAGAGACATCTTACCTCTTCGACACGAGAAGTGTCATTCATTTTATGCATCATTAGAGAAAGATTTCATTCTCCAAAAGACGGCATCCCTTTTCTTCATCAGCTGTTCCCGATCGATCTCATTATCTACATTATTTTTTCTGCACAACTACTACGCAGCATACCTAACCTAATTCTAGCTTTGTTTAGGAGCTGATAGACGAAGCATGATGCAAGCATGACCTTCAGTACCCTCTGAGCTTGAGAATGAAAGCTTCTGCATCACAGGAAGAGAAACCAGAGGGACCATCCCTTTGAATGGATATTGTGATACCCGCAAGCAGATAAAGCACTATAGATTTCTCACATGCAGCAGTGCCCTTAGCATGAAGCAGATGGTGTGATTATACCGAAGTGGGAGCATGATTGATCGATATTGCACTAGGCTGAAGTGGCAACAATGCACGACACAAAACCGCGTCCCCATGTGCACGCATGTGTTCATACATGAAATCGATGCAGCAATTTAGGTTTTTGTACATTATTACGAGACTGGAAGTGATGATTTATAGACTCGAAAACTTCGCTCACGAACATGGAGAAACCATACTACATATATATGCACACCATGTTGAAGTATCGCGATTAAATATAGTTCTAGGCTCACTTATTTGTTGTATTATCGGTACTATATATCTGTTGCATTAAGATTCATAATACAACGGTCAATGGAGTGAGTGCGCCAAAACAGTGGATTGGAACGTAATATTTGGCTTGATTTTTATCATTTATCTTGTTTGATAAAGATTGGCTAGCTTGATTTTTCATACACAGGAATTGATATTATTTACAGTGTTGAAGGCATTTATCTCTGGATATAAACATAGATAAGAAACGCGTAGAGAATGAAGCTTAAATTATAATGTTACTAATGTACTGTAATTAAACTTGTTTTTCTTTTTTATTTATGTTTTTTTTAAAAAAAAAACTATTGTGTTTCTTGCAGTATTTTCTGAAGGGTTGTTTTATTAATAAATCAACTGATTATTATATATATATATATGGAAAATTAATTGTTTACATGTATATATTTATTATTGCAGAGAAATATAACAAAAATTATAAATTATAAGATATTATAGCTCACGACAATTTCTTTCCTTTTCTTCCCCACTCTATTGTGGTATCAAAGCCTATTGCGGCTACTTCAGAAAATCAATCCCCTTCATATATATTTTTTACATTACAACCCATAACAATCCCCATAATCAAGCATAATGCTCAGTTATCTGTTATATTATTAGTTATGTATTTATTACATTACGATCCATAATACAAAGTTCAATAAGGCTAGTAGTGTTAATTGTCTACATACACTAGACATGGTGTCTATCCTTGCCACAAGGGTGATATTATTATTATTATTATTATTATTCTTGCAAAAATGATGTTAAGGTGGTGAAATGGAGTGAAAAATAATTTAAAAAATTAATTATGATGAACTTGCATTACCGGTAATCAAGTTCGAATCAACTTAAGATAATTCATCAAACTGGTGATCTAAATCATAAAATTTAAATAATTTTAAAAAATAAAAAGGATTACAAAGTCCTTAATTTAAAAAAAAATTATGACATGAGTTATTAAACTTGAAATACCCAATCTAGAAAAATCATTAAGTTCAATTATCAATCAATTAAATGTTGACTGATGAAATTAAAAAAAAAAATTATGCAAAAGGATTTAGAAAACATAGCAATTAAATGAATAAAAATTAAAATATAAAATAAATGTTATATTTAATTAAAGGGTGAAATTAAAAAAAAATTAATGTAGTAAAAGGATAAAAAAAAAAGTAATGAGAATTAAAATTGAGATAAAAACAATATTGTAATTAAAAGTGGAATTGAAAGAATAATAACTTTTACAAAAAAAAATCATAAAAAAATAAAAAATAAAGATCAAATTGAAAAAATAGTATCATCAATTTGAATTGAATGATTAAATTGAAAAATACTAAAACTATTACAAAAGATAAATTTAGAAATATAAAGAATAAAGATCACATTGAAGAATATGATACTTGATAAATTAGGATTGAAAAATAAAATTAAAAATAAATAAAATTTCAACCAAAAAACTAAGATTGAAAATTAAAAATCAAACAAACAAGAACCAAAATCGAAATGTCCATAAATAAAAAGGTCAAGCTGTAATATTTAGAAGAGAAGACAAAAAAGGGAGAAAAGGCCCATCAATACAGAACTTAATCACCAACTTAGACAAGCACCGTTACAACAGGAAGAGAAGACAACAATGCTTCCAATGACATAAAAGAATAGCATTTTAAAATGTCAAGAGAGGGGCACTGCACGCGCGCTCATCCTTTCGGCTTTTATAGCTAAATATAAATTTGCCCATGAGATGATTATTCTAATTACTAAAAAGCAATGGTGAAAAACTCAAAACACTTCTTGGCCCTCAGGCTTAATTTTTTTTTTTTTTCAAGGGTATTGTCATAGTTTCATTTTTCATTTGCATTGTTTATTATTTTTGACATTTTTGCAAATACTTGAGTGCCCATCAGCGTTACTAATAATAGCAAAAAACCATTGTAAAAATACAAAAATACTTGTTAATACCCTTCTTTTTGCTTTCAAAATTATTCTAATCATTTTACTGTGAAATCAAGATGGAAAAATATATATTTATCCCTAATCAATTTTTTTAAAAAAAAGAGACTAAAAAAAAATCTCAATACCCTCGGAAGCCAGCACGAACCAACCATCATCACTACACTGATACACTGATCTAGTGAACAGTGTATATGAGTGTAGAGCTAAACTTTGGGTTTTTGTTTTTGTTAACATATAAAGAGAGCATAACAAATTTTATAGCTGATAATAATTCCTGCCCCTTCTCTCAAATTCTCTTCCTTGTTCTATCACACCACCTCTCAAATTCATAAGCTAGACAGCTTTATATATATGATGCAAAGTCTAAAATAAAAGCGTGTGTGCATTACTTTCCAATTCATAGAAACATATTAATTAAAGAATTATTAGCCATTCATAGAAATATATTTGGCAAAGCATTACTCGTAACCATTCAAAGAATTCATGAAGTTGATGGCAATGCGAAGGATGCAGTCGTGATGACGCTAAGCGTCGACATCAGAAGAAAATTCG